CCAATCACCGCGTCCTGCTGTGTTGAGTTTCTCCACCGATATTTCACACTCCAGCGGCGCGCAGACCACGCCCACACTCTCGACCTTCTCGCTATCCCGCTTCCCGCAGCCGCCCCACCGGATCGACCCGTCGCTCTCACCACCCCACGATGAAAGAGAGCCGACGCGAATAGACGCACCTAGCTTCGCGACAACCGCGCCTGCGACGCCGCCCGCGACGCCCGCAATTATCCATTATCGCGGTGCTTCCTTTGACTTGGTTAACCCGCACGATTCGCTACTGCTTCACGACATTGTTACGCCCTCGCGCGACTTCGATTCTAGTGAATATCTTCTTCTACGTTCATCTGACGACGCATTTTCAGAGGTATGTATTACAACCCAACTCCGTTCTCAGCACAGCTGATCGCAACAGATGGCGCCCAAACGAGCCGTTTACGGCGATTTTCGCGCAGCGCATGCAGGTATCCTGAGACGTCCTGAAGATGAGCCAGAGCAGTCGCATATGGAGCTTCCGCTTGAGCCGTCACCTGCTGCCCTCAGTCCCAACTCGTCGTCCTATACATCGCCTCCTTACAGCCCCGAATCAATCAATGCGCCCTCCCCGCTGACCATCAAGCCGCCTGCTCGCGAGTCGCGTTTTTCTCTCAAAGGATTGACTCGCACGTTGACGAAGAAGCTCACCAAGACTCCGTCGGCGTTACAGGGCGAGGAGTTGCAGGAGATGCGTAGCGAAAACGTGAGCAAGGCATCAATCAGCATGGAAGGAGAATTCCCGCGCCCTCTACACCAGACCTATATCACAACCCCCGAAACATCATACTTCCCGGTCGGACCAATGTCGCCAGCTACGCCCAGCAGCCCCCTGTCACCTGAAGGCTTCCATGCCTTTACACCGGCGTTCCCACAAGCCTTTTCACCCGGACAGAACGAAGCGGAGGCATCGCGAGGTCAATCCGCTGGACACTATCAGACGGATTCGCTAGCATCCATGCTGCCGGATGAGCACTCGACGGAGATCGGACGATTAGATGAGTCTCATCTACCTTACTCTACTGAAGGCGGTTTTTCGAAGCCCTACTACGACGATCTTGATTCGATCTACCCCAGTTCGTCTATCTACACCGCAGATGGTCATCGGAAGTCCATGTATCAGCAGGGACTCCAGAGCGAGCGGAACAGCAGTGGCAACCCGTTCGCTCGGCTTAGTGGGATAAACGCAAGCGACTTTGCCAACGAGTACAATCCTAACAGCTCGTACGATTATGGCGACTCTAATAGGATGAGTCGGCAACTGTCACGTCCATTCGCCCAAGACATGTACCACCCTTCGGTCGAAGAACGTGATCCCAAGACGGACACCATCAGCAAACTCATCGATGAATATAGCCCGTATGATACTGCAAATGCGCCCTTAGCCACTCACTATGAAGGCAAAGGAAAGGGAGTTCAACAAACTGGTGTAGGTTCAAGGCGGCCTCTGATTACCCAGCACCCAGGTTCACCCCCTCGTGAAGCGGCTCCTCTTGCACCGGCCTTTGAGTACGATGAAGCACCTTTCCTTCCTCCACGTCTACCAGTGTCTGGTATGTTCTCTGATGAATCACGCTACTCATACGGAGATACTCGAAATCTGCTCCGCATCTCGCAGTCAGATGTCTCGATTCAGCCTGCAATGAAAGGCACTCTGGAGCCATCTTCATCGTACTCTCAACCAGAAGCCAGGACCCTCGAGCCTTCGTCTTCTTACTCTCAAGCGGACAACCCGCAGAGTCCGCATACGCCTAGAGAGGCTCTCGAACAGGCCGAACAAATCTTCCAAGACACGGCCAACAAGCATCAGGATAACCGTAAGATCCCCGCGATGTGGGCTAGACGCAACTCGGCCAGCCTAATGCTAAGTAAATCAGCCACAAACAGGTCATCTGGTGTTCCCGAGGAGTTCGACACACCTCTTGGTGGCGGCGACGCAGCTATTACCGGAGATAAAGCGGATTGGGAGACGGTCGGCGGCAACAGTCGCGATTCGAAAGGTCACGAGTCTCTTCTTAGCAGTATTGCAGACTATAGCAGCAGTGAGGGCACCCGGAATAGTCTTGGCCTAAACTCAGATGGCTCTCTTCCTTCCTGGGCGAAACTAGCTCAATCACCGGCTCGTTCGACCTACTACAACCACCCTAGTCCATCACGCACTCAACACCCTCATCTGTTCGGCTCATCGCCACCACAGTTGAGAGCTCAAGCAAGTGTCCGTACCGCGCCCGATACTTCATCTCCTCCCTTGGCCACTAGCCCTCCAGCATCACGGACAGCACCATTGTTCCAGTTCGCTACTCAACCTGAGGACGTTCGGGGGCGCGGTGCCGTCGATCAGCCATATGCTTACGCTCCTTGGGCGGACCCGTACGCTTTCAGCGACAAAGAGACGCAAGAGCTGCTAGCTTCTGGCCCTAATGATAACATCATTATCGATGAGCAGCGCGCTTCGTCTGTGGGTCAGTCACAAGGACATTACCGGTATAGAAGCGATGATAGTACTCTACCGACTTCAAGTACCGCTGATGAGAGCGTTTTTGATAACAGTCCTATTGGTCTCGAGCGCCAAAACACCTTTGAGAAGCTCTCCTATGTTGGGCCTAAGGGCAACCTCACTGGTACTCCTCGCGGTACTGGCATGCATGAGACAGGTAGCAGTGTCGCAGATACTAGTAGTCCTGGTGTGAAGCTCAGCTCGAGCGTTGGTCGCCAGAGCGTTCGTTCAGACTACACCGGGTTCTACGCTTCGCCCTTCCCAGCTACAGGCAGCGTAACTCGCATCAGCCAGTCCCGACCAGTCTACAAGCCGAGTCCCGAGCATCGTACACCATCAGAAGCTAGTCTGTTCTCACAGACGCCAGAACTGGAAACTGTTCAAGAGACCTCTCCAAACCCTGGTGCTCGCAAGCACCTCCGTAACTCTACCACGTTCCTGCGTCAACAACGCCGCACGAGCCGCTCTGCCGTACCCGGTCAGACGAAACTGCGGCAGATGTTCCTTGCGCCTGAAGCTGCTCGATCGACCATCTCGACTCAAGACACGCACATCACGCGCTTCGTGGCCCACAGTGATCGTCCCTCTACCAGCGACACTACGACGCCTCTCCGTCCCACACACCCTAGCCTAGACATCTACCCTGCGCCAGTCCGGACCAACATTGCCCACCAGCACTCGCCTCACCTTCTCTGCGTGGAGCGGGAGCCCAATCCAGAAGACGAGGCACGCCGCCGCAAGCTATCATGGTGCATCCTCATGGCCTTCTGCCTCCTGCCGCCCTGCATCATCCTCTTCCGTTTCATAGGAGACAAGGTCATCGCCGAGCTTACCAAAGGCCATCTTGGTCACGTCACGCCACAGTCTAAGCGAACGGCGCTCATTGCTGGTATCGTCGTTAATGTTGGCCTTGTCACTGCAATCTTGGTTCCGGTCTTGGTCGCGCAGGCTCTGAAAGCTGCTTGAAGTGGGTGCCTGGTGGAGTTGAAGAAGAACAGGTACGCAGTGCTATTGTGATGATCTTATGTGAACTAATCTTGATGAACAGCAGCGCTGGCAGTCTAAAACATACTCAAAAGTGCTATCAGCGATATCTCGAACCGCAGATCTTGCGACGCGGTACGACATACGAAAAGTTTGCAAGCGATCTTCATCGCAAGTTCCAAGGAACAAATTGGCCAGCAACGTCTTAGTTGCGGCGTCCATTCTCTTCTGAGTGTGAGTTTTTTTTTCCTTTGTTCTGTACTATCTTGCGTTGCTTTGGCGTTGCTTTTGCATGATCTGGGAGTTTTTCAACTTTGAAGATAGCCGTTTGGCTCTTCGGCTTCTCACACGTGGGAGGGAGGTCCTTTATCTGGGATGCATGATTGGCGATGGGCGAATATCCGGGCATGGTGCATGTGGATTAGTATCGACATCTGGGGAATTGGTCATTATGGGGTCTACTGGTATCTCTTTTTCATGTGTCGCGGCTGGCTTCGTAATGAGGTTGGCTGCTGGACGGTGGGAGGTTTGGACATGGGGAGGCGGTTTTCGAGGCGGATGGCGGACATGTTTGGTTCAGGTTCAAGAAGAAATACGAATACTTCATTCAATCCTTGCAGCTTCGTGACTGACATCCCCCTTGCCATGTTACAGCCTGTCAACACGCCAACATCCCAGTGGTATCTGCTAGTCACCATGATTACGGGTCTTGCTCATTCTGCTGAGGAGGAAATGTCCTTCGTCTAGCCAATGGAACAAGTCCGATATCCGCTTCCGTGTCTATTCTCCCTGGTGGGCCGAATACCGTCTGGTGTTCTCTAGCAGTGGATCGTTGTTCAATGACACTTACTGGCCTCGAGGACGCCAGCGAGGGTGGTGGCGAGCTTGTTCGTACACTGACGCCGCTTGGTGAAGCCGAAGTATCCACACTTTGATTGCTTTGGTGAAGGATACTGAGTTGAGATTCTGACCGTGCTCGAACGCGGGCTATACGGACTTCGTCGCGAACGAAGTAGAGCAAATCCACTTCGCTCTTGGCGAGTAGGAGGAATCGATAGCCAGTGTAAGCGAAGACCAAACCCAGTGCCCCCACGCCAGTGGTATCAAAGTTGAATCCGATGCCCACGAGTGTGCAAAGGATAGTCTCAACAAGACAATAAAACAACGCAATCTTGCTCATTTTCCTTGCAGTATGAGTATCGTTGTGACGGATGGAGAGCTCGCCGCATCGTATGATCTCTAGATCTTCCAGTGACTTTGACGAACCAAACCGGACCACCAGGCTCCAAAGCCCTTCTATACGACTTTTATGAGTGGAATCCCGTCTGTGTAATACTTTTGGATCTGTTATGCTGTGTATTGTACTCGTTTCTGTGTCATTTTCTTCACAATTTGACTCGATCTCTTCGCTTATGACGTGGGGCTGTGGAAGCCTTTGCTCTACAAAGACAGACTCAAAGTTAACAAATATTCTTCAACATTGACGTCAAGTTCGCTTACCATTGACAACTTCCACTGCAGCCAAAAGGGTAAGTACCAGCAGCACTATGGCTACAATTTGTCCAAACCCGAGGATATGAAGACCATTCGCTGGCTTCAACTCTCCTTGCCATATAGCAATGATGACACTCGCTGTGCCATATGACATACCGAGTGAAACGTCTGGAAGAAATGCCAGATAGGAGTCGTAGTATTTGTCGAAGAAATACCATACAGAAATTGCGGTTTTCCCTGTAGTCGATAAAGGTGGCTGTAGCCAAGCGAGGTATTTGATATTCGCGGTCTTGACCATAACACTGGCGTCTTCTGACGAGAAGCCCCTCAGGCAAAGATACCTTACGTACAAATAAGAGAGTAATGCTTCGAATAATCTTGTCCCCGGTTCGAGATACAGCTGCACGATGGCAAAGATGTGATTGTATAGCGCAGCTCCGAGAACGACGATCGAGTCGAATTTATCAAACTGAAACGACTTTCCAAACCGCGAAGCTTCGAACAGACATTGCAGCACGTTGCCTTCGTTCAGAGTCGATCCATTTATGACACCGTCGAAGTGGCTCGTGACCGTATTGATGACGAAGGAAAATGCGAACAAGACCAGAAATCCAATGGCGAAACCGACTCGGCAGTCTCGGGCGAGCTTGCGAGCGAAGAGGTGAGTCTGAAGGACACTTAGCGAGAGCGTATGGGTGAACACAGCAAAGTATGCTAGATACGTGACAATATTGAACTCGTAGAACGTGATATGGCATCGACTAGCAAGTCCCGCAATTAGAATTGCGACACCAGTCACTAGTTGCTGATCGCCCAGGACTGTGACAAATCCAATGATGACCTGGGCTCTCCGTTTTTGCTTCGGCGTAGGCTCAAATTGAAGATCGGCCTCGGCGAATGGGCGACGCCAGTTCTTGAGCGACCGCAGCGCGTAGTGGTCGAGGGACGAGAGCACTTCGATCGGTAGGCATTCGTTGAAGTAGGCCCAAACGATGACTGCAAATAGTCCATAGGCGCAGAATAGAAAAGAAATCAGCACCTACATTCAAAGTCAGTGAGTAGGTACAAAAGATTTAGCATCTAGATGTGATTCGCTTACTCCAACACCCGCGATGTCAGGGTCTATCTCGATCTCAGTGGTGCAATTACTGAACGGTACATTGGCGTAACATTTGTCACAATTGAGAGAACTTTCACAGCTGCCCATGGTCGTTTGCCCGTGTGATGGTAATATGTCAGGCTGAGGTTGGGCCAGCAGTCGTAGCGAGAAGCGGGACAAGAGCAACCTTTGAATAGCGGTGGGTACGCGAGGAGGCTGATGTCAGCCGCCAAGGTCCTGACTGCATGCGATCCCGATGCGCCAGAGAAAGTGGGAGAAAAACCGGGAATGGCGCAAGGCTGGGCTATTGGTGGCGCATAGAAATAACGTCTGCGCGTTCGGCTCGGTCCAGTGGCTAGCCTCTGACAGTCGAATCTAGGAACCGTATCAGAGTGAGGTGTAACGATAACGGAAGACATTGGGCCTGTGAACATTTACCCAGGTAATGGTGGTTTGTTTGATGACTAGTTGGTGGGTTGACGGCTCAGCCTTGTGTGTGTGTGTGTTTAGTCGCTGTGCATGAGCTGAGAAGTTGGGTACACGTGCCTACAGAGGCGTGGAAGCTCGCTTCGTGATTGGTATAAGAGATAAGCCCTGCAGGTTGGGCGAAGACGTACTGGAGGGTGGTGTTTTTGTCACTGCAGGCTGCTACGTTCAGCGGGAGATCCGAAACCATAAACCTGTCGCTGTAGATCGAAGCATATGCGCCGAACATGCGTGCGATGCAGATCAACCAGATTTCTTGGACAACTGGCGATCAAGAACTCCCGTCTTGCCTGTTGAACAGGGCGTTCAAACCAAGACTAGCTTCAGTGTCCTGCCTGCGAGGTCGTCCGAATATCGGGCTCGTTTCTGTCGCAGTGGTGTGTGCATTATCGCGCTGGTTGTCGGATAGGTCCAGGGAGGGCAGTCGTGGTGGGTTGTGCGATGTGCTATCTCCAGACGTGCTATGCACCATCGGAGACGCCTGTAGGGAGGATCTCTTGGTCTTGCGTGATGTGAATTCTTTCCAGACAAATCGAGACTGGTAAATTTGACGTCTCAAAGCGATGGTTAATTTTAATAGCGCCCATGCCGGAACGATGCCTAGCAGCAGGAACAGCTGTACATCAAGCACACCCCCCGCGACAATCATTAGTGCTGTAGATAATCCACAAATAATCAAGGATCGAATCGCGACTCTCCTGTCCACCCTAGATGAGAGCGGGTTCGAAACGTGACCAGACCTGCTCACGGCATCATCTCGCACGCGGACGGATGGCTCGACCAGCGGCTCGGATGCGGTAAGGTTTGGAGTTGGAGTGTTTGCGATGTCGATCTGGTACAAAGATTTCTGCTTTGATAAGGAAAGGGAGCTGTCCAATACGGTTTGCTCTTTATTGCATCAGTAGAGTCACCATGAGAGTAAAGACGAGGCTTACCATTTACAATCTCAATCAAAGCAAGCAATGGAAGAACAAGCAAACCGATTGCAACGACTTGACCAAAGCCAAGCATCCCTGCATCGCTCGATGGATAGACTTCGGCTCTTAATACCGCAGAAATCGTGTTGACCGTCCCAAAAACGAACTGGAAAGCCCATACGGGGATCTCAGACAGATATGCTTCGTGATATTGCTCAAGGACATACCAAACAGATATCTTTGCCTTGTCATCCGATGGTTCGATTCTAGTATCATAGTCAAGACGAGCATCTGCGATAATGCTTGCCCACTCCATTTCGGAAAGGAGTGTCGACCGGCTCCAGAGGTACATGGATATGCGATCCATTGAGGTAGTAGTGACATGACGTTGGTAAGCCGCTTCTGGAGCAGCCAATCGTGCTATGGCCGAGATGTGTTTTCCCCATAAGATCGTCAGTATAGGAATCATCTGCAGCATGATCCAGGGATCAGACAAAAGCGCGGGGTCCGATATCCACTGCTCCAACGTGCATTGGATTATTGTGGTGCTGTCACCATTGTAGAGATGGTCCACAAGAAATGTGAACGTGAATGAGATTAGCAATACAAGCGTGAAAGCTACGCGACAAACTTTTACCCATGCGTGCTGGGCTAGGTGATTTCGCAGTACATCAAGTGACAGGCTGTGCGTCGTAGCTGAAAAATAAGCCAGCGAGGTAACTATATGCCACTCATTCTCGGACATGACACATCGACTCAGAAGCGCAGCAATTAGTATTGAGATTCCGGTTATAAGCTGTTGGTCGCTAAGCATCTTGATGAATTTGACAAGAACATGGCTGCGGCTTTGTTGTTTTGGCGTCTGGGTGGACATGTAAATTTCCGCGCTATCGTGGCGCCCTTTTCGCCTGAATAGGCCCTTCAGTATTGCGATTGCATGCTGATCGGTTGACTGTAGCAGACACGAAGGCAGGGTCGAGGTTAGGTACCCCCAGATCACCACCACAAAAACAGCCAAGGCGCTGAAGTAAAATGATACGAGGATCTGGCCTTGAATTAGTACAATGAACCAATTGAAGATCCACTACTTACCCCAATACCTGCGATGTCTGCATTGACTTTTGGTGTTGTTGGACACTTTGGTGCCCATCCTTTGGTCCCCCACGGGTATCCTTCCATCCCCCACGGGTCTCTGATGCACGCAGTACAGTCGATGGAACTACCACAATTGCCCATGGTTGTACTTGTTCAACCAAGGAATTGAATGGAGTACCTGTCTACAAGGTAGGCTTTGTAGAGGTGTCACAGCCGTCGCTCCGTATGTAGTGGTGATGATTCGCGAGGTCGAGGGATGGCAAAGAAGGATCTTTGAGGTCGCCGAGATCTGTGGTAAGCAGGCATTAAACGCAGATGAAATGAGAAAGTGGTGAATATGGTATGTTCGTTTCCGCGTCTTGTTGGAGGCAGCCTTGATGAAGATAACGAGATGTCCCGCGTCGGCACGCCTGACAAAGCAGGCGCGATGTCCATCGAACGCCGCCCAGACCGCCACAAAGCGTTGATTGGAGGACTCTGAGCCCCCAAACATACTCAAGGATGACTGCATCGGATGAAGGGCAGTTGTAGGGGGGCCAAAGGACGTTGGTTGCAATCAAAAGTAACAGGCAGTCGTCGAATGGGGAAGGTGCTGCGCTATATGCTGTTGACAAATGGGCGGTGCAGGAAGGCTGAGACAGGCTACGAGTGTCCGGTGATCTATCAAGGTCAGCAACACGAATCGCAAGGTGCGATGCATCTCAGAATGTGCATACCTGTTATGTGTTGTGATTATAAGGAAGTGTGAGTCTAGAGCGAGGAAACCGCCAGTATGCCCAACAGCTGCTTCCTCCGGGCTGAGTCATGCTATAGAGCTCATCCCGATTGCGCTAGTGCTGTGCGAGTCATTGACAGACCCAACCAGTCAGCTCCCCAAAGTCTACCGCATCACTGGTACAATTCGTATGCCATTATTGTTGTTCATTCATCTTTCATTCATCCAGCTCTGAAGCTGCTAACGGGGTATATACAACTCTCTACTCCTTGCTCAAATCCGCAATCTGCAGCACCGCCTTACCAAAGTTCTTTCCCTCCAGCATACCAATAAAGCCGTCAACCGCATTATCAATGCCCTCGGTAACACTAATCTTCGCCTTGAAAGTACCCTCAGACAACCACTTCTGCAGCTTCTCCTGGTGCTCCTTCGCATGCTTAGGACCCATGTTCTCGTCACCAACGATGAAACCACGGATAGTAAGGCGCTTGGCAACAACGTTCATGAGGTTGCGGATGGGGTACTGCTCGCCGGGCTTAGCGTTGTACTGGGAGATCATGCCGCAGGCGACGATGCGGCCGAAGTTGTTCATGGCGTTGATGGCGGCTTCGAGTTGCTCGCCGCCGACGTTCTCGTAGTAGATGTCGATGCCGTTGGGGGCGAGGCGGGCGAGGGCATCGGCTGGCTTCTCAGTCTTGTAGTTGAAGCCGGAGTCGAAGTTGAGCTCCTTGGTGATGAAGTCGAGCTTCTTGTCGTCGCCGACGGAGCCGATGACGGTGAGGCCTTCGTGCTTGGCGAGTTGGCCGACGAGCTGGCCGACGGCGCCTGAAGCGGCGGAAATGAAGATTGTCTCACCCTTCTTGGGCTGGCCGATCTCGTAGAAGGAGGACCAGGCGGTTAGGCCGGGCATGCCGAGGGGGCCGAGGAAGTACTTGGGGTCCAGGTTGTAGGGGTTCTTGAGCTCGATGCAGTTGGCGACGGCGTCCTTGTCGAGGATGGAGTACTCCTCAATGGGGCTGATGCCCATGGTGATGAGGGTTTGACCCTCCTTGAACTTGTCGCTGTTCGACTTGACGACCTTGAAGATGGAGCGGTTGGTGATGGGCTTGCCCAGCTCGAAGGGAGGGGAGTAGGACTTGACGTCGGGTGCACGCATGCGGCCACGCTGGTAGGGGTCGAAGGAGGCGTAGAAGTTCTTGACGAGAAGAGCGCCCTCGGGGAGCTTCTGGTCGAGGTCAATGTCGCGGGCCTCAACAGCGAGGTCCTGGCCTGGCTTTGGCCATCCCTCTGGGACCTTCTTGAAGATGACGCCCTTGTTCTGAACCATGATGTTGTGTTTGTGTTGTGTAGAATTGGGTGTTAGGAAGGAAGAAGTAGGGTATCTTGTGTTGATGTTGTAGAGTGGTTTAATAATTTGATGCTGAAGATTGAGACATGAGCACCTAGCTATATACCAACACCTCTAGCTGACAAACTGTGATTTCACCGCCGAGAGAAAGACCCTGATTGCATCATGGGTGGAGGGAGGGACCCGGAGGCGCCGTCCTAGCACGGCAAGCCCAGTCGTAACGTTGCATATCGGCCAGCGACCGGCAAAGAGGCCGCAAAACGAATATTCGTCCGACTCTAGAAGCCACGACTTCGGCCAGGTGTCTCGACGCGGGGCACGAAACTTGTCGCAAATGCAGAATCTTCGAGACAACGTTGAACGACACGAAGCCATGACGAGCGCTCGCGCCGGGAGTCACCCGCTTTGGGAAAGGTGCCCGCTGCGAGATTTAAGGCTGAGCCGAGGCAAGTGGGGCGTGGATTGGTAATGGAGGGGTGTAGCTAGAAGTCGCTATGGATTCAATGCACTCAGCGGTGAGAGTGCTAGTAGTATGCTGACCTGGAAGGCTTAATGAAACGTCCGAGCATATATCTGATTCGTCTTGTGCATTAACAACGGAAGTAGTATGTCAGAAAATGATCAAGAGCAGGACAAGTGCGTCTCAAAGCGTGTCGTACGAAAAGCTCTACAGTACTCATGCATAGTGTGCCGGGAGGATACGGACGTAGGTCGGTACATTGGTTCCTATGTCTCCGTTGGATGCGGTGCGTGATGAATTACTTGTGTATTCGTCAACCATCATCCTCCCTCGAAAGCAGTCAACTGCTCCATAGAGCTATCTGATCTAGCCTAGCTTCAGGAAATCTATCATAACCTTTACTCCGTGTAAACACAGGGAAGTTCCCTTCTTATGCGATGTCATGCTTAGTCTCGTCGTCGAAGGCTCTTACGCCCAGGTGGAGATTTGTATGCATGCCATACACTATCGCTCGCCTGATGTACTTGGAGGTTCTTGTGCTACTCCTCCTCTTCGTCTTCTCTGCTGTCCACGAAGAAGTCCCCCTCTTCCTCCTCAGGCTCCATGACCTTCTCTATCAGCTTCAGCGTCTGCCGTAACGGCAAACCGACAACGTTGTCGTAGGACCCTTCTATGCGCTCGATGAGGCACGCACCCGCTGTCTGTATGCCATAGCCGCCTGCTTTATCGTTACCGTCGCGCGTTTTGACGTATGCGAGGATCAGTTCGTCGGTCACTACTCGTGTTAGCATCCGAATCAGCCATGTCTAAACAGGAAGAAGTACCAGTAGGATCAAACATAACCGTAGTCTCTTCAACATGCGTCTCCATGGCATATCCCGGATCTACCGCAGACTCTAATGGCTTCATCACCGCAACGGCGGTCATAACCTTGTGCGCACCCTCATCTCTCAGCATCTTCAGCGTTGCTATATGGTCTGCCTCGCTCTTTGGCTTCTCCAGTATCCGCCCAGCGTGCGATACTACGATTGTGTCGGCAGCGATGACGATGGCAGGTTCGCCGCGCTCGCGATTGTTAATCTCGGATTTGTATACGTCATGCGCTTTGGCGGACGCGGTTTCGAGGACGTAGTTCAGCGCGCCGAGCGAGTGGTCTAGGTTTTCGGCGAACTTGGAGGGGACTACGTCGATTTTTGTGAGGCCGATCTGATCCGAGTTAGCTTTTAATATGTTCACGTCGTAGTGGAGATTCTCTTACCTGTGCGAGAAGCTGTCTTCTACGTGGTGACGCGCTCGCAAGCACAACTCTCGATCCTCTCAACTCATTCAGCGCTGGCAGATTTAGTGGCGGAGGCGGTCCTGGAGGGAGCCTCTTCGCTAATGGTGTGCCCGATGCCGACTTGTTTTGTGGGATTGGTGACTTCCGCGCATCTTCATACGAGGGCGGGGGGTCGGACGGTAGTAGGGGCTCTTTGACGTCCATTGTGGCGGATGAAATATGTTTAACGATCAGGTGATATGCAGAGACTGCACTTCAATAATAAAAGGTCAAAGAATTGGGTATGCGGTGCGATTGTAGTGATGTTGGGGATATCCTTCGATGAAGCTGTTGATTTCGGGGATGCTTCAGGGTCCAAGCTCCTGCGCCACCCGACTGGATGACGTTCGACTGGGGAGCCGCAACGCAGATCCTTTATCCATTCCTCTCCAGCAGTGCAGCCACTACCACAAACTATGTTGCCACCAAAGCTCACGCATCACGGATGAAGCCTATGTTGCTGATAGGTACATGTCGCGAACATGATAAGTTGAAGAATAGAACTCTCTAGACATCGTCCTATCGGATAAAGCAACGCGCCAACAATCTCTAATGGAAACTATGAATTCCTGTTGAAGGAATTATCGCAATCAGTTATGCACAGATTCATGCACAGCCCAAATAGTTAAAACCTCATCACCACCGTGCTCTTTGTCTAGCGACCGCGAAAGAAACCTCATCTTCATCCGGCCAAGGCCAAGAAAAGTCACGAACAACGGGACTAATACGCCTTTCTCTCCCATCGACATACTCTCCTCCTCCCCTTCTCCTGTAGCCAAGTTGAGGTGAGGTGGTGCCCAGTGGAACGTCCCTCGTCCATCCAGACACAACTCGCCGTAAAGCTGTAAGCTTGCGTAACAACGAGAGCTAGGATCAGCCTCTTGCAAGTCGCGGAGGCGAAATACGCTCTTGACTCGGATATCCAAAGTTCCGGTGGTGTAATCGGAATACGTTCCACATCCGAGGCGTGACTTGGATAGCATGATGAGGTATTCTGGTGAGTATAAGATCCAGCGGCCTTCCAAGGACTTTATACATAATTTTCCACCTTTGCGGATTGATCTACGCAAGATCCACTCAGACTGTGCCATTTTGGCTTGGTGGGCGTACTGTTCGGCAAGAGCTTCCTCGTAACCGTTGACCGAAGTTCCTACGTATAGCTCAGCGGTTGTGAGGCTCGCATTGCCAGCCTCGAGATTGTTAATTGCAGGAGGTGACATTTGGCTTTGGTTCTGGACTTGAGAGTGTGAGCTATAGAGTCAGGAATGAGATAACAAGGTGCACTCACCTGTAGTAGCATCCATTTTGTCGTGGATTCGGGGGCTAGCAGACGTGCTGGGTTCGTCTCTACCTAGATAGGTTGGCGGAAGGTACCTAGAGATTGGTGTAAGAAGTCAGTATATGTCTCAGATTAGTTCTTACATGGACATGACTTACCGAGTTCGACCTTGGGGTAAAGTGGACATAAATGGCGCTTCGTAGTATGGTACTGGTCTGCTCCAATAGTCCTTCACGAACCCGTTGGTTTCCATATCTTCCTCTGTCCTATCCAAGATCCCAACAAACAAGTAGTCGTCTTCCTCAATACTACCACCCAGTTCTTCCGCTGGGATGGTAAATGTAATGTATGGACCATCGAACGACATCATCGTCGTGCTTATCGGATGTTTGTACCAATAAATCCCGTTATCATCCGCCTGAACAATTGTTGATCTAAGAACAAAACGTCTACTCTCAGAATACCCGAAAGTAATAAGATGCTTGACTCCAGGAATTGTGCATCTAGCCCCGGTAAGTTCTCCACCAATCTTCCAGCGTGGTCCCAGGCGAATGCTACCTGCCGTCCATGTTTTGGCAAACTGTTCGGTCCAGAGAGTCGGGTTGTTCTTGTAGTGCAATTGCACGTATTGTGGAGAGTACAATGTGTATTCACCCCGCTTGGGTAACACTGGAATCTCGTCATAGGTTTTGCGGTTCAAAGTTCCATCTCTTATCCCCGATATAACATGATCGGAAGCACGAAATGCTTGGATTGTTAATCGAAAATGTGAATTATACGCATCTTTAACGGCAGGTGGAAAGTCGTTGTCTTCGTCAGGGTCTGACGGACTAGATACGCTGTCTCTTCCACTTTCCGTTTCGATGTATTGTTTGTTTGCGTGCATAGCTGCGAGCAATTCGTAAGAGGATTGCGTGATGAGAGAGGGTATTGTAGTGGTTTGCAATGCACTCGTGTGGAATTGCTACATCTAATTAGTATTGTTCATATCGAAGCAAAGGCCAACGCGCACTTACTCTAGAGCTGCAATCCGACACAACTGTAAGAAGATAGATGTCTCTTCTTTTTTCCGTTCACTGTCAGCCATTTTATAGATGAAGAAGACGCGACCAGCCTCCTCTAGCGCTTGTGATATCTTAGCGTGTCGAAGTCGCGTTCACGGCTTGTAACCCAAAAACCACGGGCCGACTCCAGATATCGAAAACCAGCCTTCTCTTTTTTAAAAGGGCCTACAACTGATTCAGTATGCATCAGCTTCGCTAAAGAAAACAGGTATATTGTACATTATTGACAGCGGACGTCCTGCCCAGAGGCCGCAGTAGGTGCGAGATATCGAGTCCGGCCTTGGGGTAAGACAGGGTTGTACGGGGTTTTGTAATGAGGTTGCGGCTTCCATTCCGGCATTCCCGGCCACCATTCTGCCATCTCTTCCTCGTCTCTGTCTAGAATTCCAACAAGCTGAACCGTTCCGTGACAGTCTATATCCGGAAGTTCTATGATCAGATATGCGCCGCCCAAAAAGGTAATCCTAACCTCTACTTCTATACCTAAATAATGCCAGTAACCCTTACAGGTTTGCCTCGACGGAAGTTTTGGAGCGGTGTATGCAAAGGTTACACGCCTGTTGTCATGGAACAAGTTGATTTCAGCGCCAGGGCCTTTGCCATCTCCCCAACGTTGTCCCAGTCGTATAGTACCAGTGCGCCAGTTGCGGGAGGAGTTCTCGGTTATCCGGTGTGGATTCTTCGCAATCGCATATGACAGGATCTTCTCGGAATATAGCGTATATTCTCCGCGAATGTAGACCGGCTCTTGTGGACCCTCATATGTACCGTTGCCACCATACAGCTTCTCGGTGAGGTACTCATAAACATGTTTAACCTCGTTTTGATAGTCGATCTCTCTGTTTAGAGTATCTTCTACCGCATTCCTGTTTTCGGCGAGCTGGGCCATCTTCTGATAGTACTTGATGAGAATAGCTTGTTGTTCGCGCTCGAACTCGACCTGCCTTTCGACCTCATAGTTCCGTTTTCGTTCACGTTTCATTCCCTCACTTGCGCAGTAGGCCTCTCTGTTCGCACGCTCCTCATCGACGACCTCGACCATCTCGTTCTCATACTGGAGGAGAATAGCCTCTGATACGTGCTCGAAATGGGTCAAGCTTCTGTGCCGCTCAGCGCGCTGGACTGCCTTCTGATACTCGACGAGCATAGCTCTTCCTTTGCGCTCGAAAGCGGTCTGGCCGAAGCCATCATAATGCAGCTTTTTGAGGTTGGGATTCGACAACTCCCTCGCTGCTGCAATGATATCTGATCGGTCCCGGTGTTCGTCGATTCTGACGTTTGTGGACTTTGCAGGAACAGGAGGCTTTGCGTGAACAGCAGGCTTTGCCGGAACAAAAGGTTTTGCAAAAACAGAAAGCTTTGCGGGAACAGGAGGCTTTGCAGAAACAGGAGGCTCTTTCGGAACGACTCGGAAGTAATCCTTGATCTTGCCGTCCCGTGTGAGCTTGCGCGTAGCTGCTGTGAATCGTTAGAAGCGGTTCCTTCCTAGCCGAACTATACTGCACATACGCTTGACGGGTGGACTCTTCTTGATTGGAGCCATTGGGTTGTTGTGTGTGTTTACTGGTGACTGGTGAGGAGGCTGCCCCGGAAACCATTCCGACAACGATACGCATGCTCCAATGCGACGAGATAGGAAGCGTTCACCCCTGATTAGCGTGCAAGGGTCGTTAGCGCGGCGCGTCGCGTCGCGTCCGAAGAATGAGACCGAAAAGCCGTTCTAATTTACACCCAGCCTTCTCTATTAGAGCAAGTTTCTTCTTAATCCCGCACTCATTATTTTATTGCTGGCAAGGATGAGTGGCTGACAGTATCAATGAGTCTGTTGGGCCAAGCTAATCCTACGTAGGTGGCCTGGCGTCTCGTCCGGTCTACTCAAACCCCGTCCTTGTGCCGAAAAGAGCTATCCAACCCGGGCTCTGGTAGACTCTCCGAGGTCCAGGATCGATACAGGCCATTCGGTTTCGCTCCTCAAGCTGCGCCCTCAATTCCAAATCATGCTTCGGGCAGTCCTCAATGGGACACTTTTCCCCCATATGCTCGGCAGAACAGAAAAACTCTTCAGGGTCGGAGTCGCCCTCTGTGTAAGACCCTTGGTACTCCCATCGATCATCCACTTTCGCCCACTCCATTTCGCGGGTATGCCTGTCCTTCGTGCGTGAGACAGCAAAGAAAGCGATGGGCTTTTCGCCCTCGCCTCCGACCAAACATGCAGGTATGCTGAGACAGAGATAACCGTTTCCCAGGAATCGAAGGCATCGCTCGGGAATCCCCGGCTTATTGTAATACAAGGTCTCTTCTAAAGCGACTGTAGAAGGAACACTAATCTTTGGTATGTTAAAGTTCAGGCCCGGCGTTTCGGAAGGATAAGGCATTTTGAACACCAGCTCATACCCAGGTTCGCCAACGCAATCTCGTATCAAAAGCTTCCCGCGTTGGAGGTGTAGGTTCTTGGTTTCCATGTCCGTGATGTCTTCACAGTTGTCTTGCTGCATCTGATGGTGCACATCGGAGTAGAGAGCCCATTCGCCTTTGACGTCTCCCACGGGATGTTCTCTGCCTTGTGCGATCTCTTTGTCAACCCATCGAACCAGGGCCCATCCCTTGGCGATGTATTCTTGGTGCTTCTTGAGGGCGAGTGACCTCTTCTCTTTCAGGTAATTCGCGAATATACGCGGATCTGGCGGAAGCTCCTCGTACACATTCATCTCGTCCTCGGGTATGTCATCCTCAGCGGCATGGACTCCAGGCATACCGTCTTCAGAGATGTCGTCCTCGGGCACATCGTCTTCGACTCCAGACATGTCGTCCTCGGTCGAAATGTCTCCGTCCAATCTGTCCGAGTCGCTTTCTCCTGGTCTTATCAGGATCCTACCCCTAGGCGGGTTGTTTCTCCGGTCTTCCAACTCTGCTTCTATGTACCGTGCCCAAGCTTGTCTCGGGCTGTCTCCTTTGGGCTCGGGCTTGTCGGCTTCGGCGTACGTTGGAAGAGATTGCGTTGCAAGAAACTGCTGGACTTGCTCTTGTGATACCGGTTCCTTGCCAACATCATTGTTTCCCCAGAACTGCTCGTCACAAAGCCTGACTAGTACCTGCTCTAGATGCACGAGTAGCTCCTTAGGAATGCCCTCATCTAGCAGGCAATCGTGCATTGCGTCCATGAAAGCTTGGTAATCCGGATTCCAGGCTTTTATACGACCGTAAGACTGTACTGCTTCGGCATAGTGTCTTACAGCGTCTTGGTAGCACATGATGCGCTTCAATGTAGCTTCTGCGCCGCATCCAGCATTGGTCCATCGTTCATCGATTCCTGTAATACATCAGTACCGATCGCGCAAGACACTGAACTATGACGTACGGTCTATGAAGGATTTCAATTCTTCGCTTGGGCTCATAAACACTTCTCCTATCGCTACCGTCGTGGTTAGTTTTGCGCCAAGACAACGGTACCTTGCCAGGCTCACCATTTGGGAATGCCATGTTGACGTCAGAAAGTATGTAGATCTGGGATTGTGGCGTAGCTGTAACAGAAGTGTAATTCGAAATGTGATGTTGCGACGCGTTTTGTGTGGCCAGAAAACCTTGGAAGGCTCGGAACGGTGTCCATGGTTACGGAAAGGGGTTGCACTAGCCGTCTTTGACCCGCCGCATCCCGAGGTCGTGAAAACACTATCAATTCATTTCGACGAACGATGTACTATACAACCATTTATTAAAACCCACGGTCGTATGGATCGAAGTGCGTACAGTTATCCGGGTGGTCCGAACATTCGCTACGACTGTCTTCTATAGCGCCGGTAGGCGGGTTGTACACCAGTCCATCAGGCGTCTTTTCCCACCACTCTCTAACCACACTACGCCGCCTTTGATGAGGACGAAAACCTGGCAAGTCCTCAGCGATAGCGTAGAAGTCGATGAGACCGTTTTCTCTGCTTCCTCTGATCTCGTGAGCTGGAATGCGTATCTTCATATGCCCATTCTCAACAAAGCATATGCGAAACTTCAGTTTATGCGGCGAGTCTTCGGTGGACATGATGGCGTTAAGTCGCTTAGAGTTTACAACGCTTCTCTCCATCGTCCACTTAAGATCGCCTGGGAAGTGATCGTACTGCGGCGGAAGAGTCAGGGTGCCCTTAGCAGGCCTACCGTCCACCCGGCCGTATGTTGTGATTTCGAAGTTGCCGCAACCGCCGCCGTGGAACAATTCATTATCAGTTCGCCAGCCTTTTTTAGCGACGAGCATGTCGAGATATGAAGTAGACCAGAGATTCCACTTGAGAACTTGATTATAATCTTCCAGACTTGTTCTGCGTGCTTCCATGCTTTCGACGGTTTCTTCCTCTCCTGAAGCAATGCGTTCCTCAAGCCATGCTTCGATGGCTTTGCCACGTGCTTCTTGCTTCGCGTGTTTTGCTCGTGCCTTGTCGTAATCGCTGTACCAAATATCGCTGTCGCTGTCGCTTTCGCTGTCTGTGGTGTCTTCGTCGCTGGGCTCAGTTGTATCAGGGTCGCTGTCCTCGAGACGCTCAATTAGTCCGCTGTCTCTTTCCTTTATTTTACTCGTTTCGATGCCATAAAACTCAACATCTTCCCTTATCGTGTAGAATGGTACCGCCTGGGCTCTCATACTCAAGTAGCCGTCGCGGAGGAAGACGAGAGTGATTCGCATTGACTCTTGGTTCATCTCCTTCTGTTTCTGCGATGCACCTCTGTAACGGACCTGCGATTCGTCACAGAATTTTACTGAGATCTCTTCAAGTGCGGGTATTTCGAGATCTGGCCACGATCCAGTAAATTCAACCTGCTCTTTGAGGCAGGTCCTCGTACCTAACTTGAACCACAAGTTCGCCTTGACTTCAACGTCGTCTCCTTGTCTCGAAATCTTCTCGATGTACAATCGACCGGGCGCATCGTCATGGACCAAACCATCGTGAATGCAGTTTCCATCCCCATCTGTAGTATCCTCGATGAAGCTCTTCGCTGTAAGAATGTAAGTCGCGAGTTTCAACGGAACCAAGGGCCTGTGGCCTTGCTGCAGCTGTTGATCAAGCCGTGCTTCAATTTGCTGGATGCCGCGCTCAGCGCAGTCGTCGTCGTCGTCGTCTCGACCTGGATTTTCGCCACTAGGAAAACTAAGAGCCTTGCGCTGCTTGAGAATCTGCCGAATTACTTTGCGACATTCCTTTTTACGACGCAGGTCTTCGGGTAACTTGCGTAGCTCCACCTGCTCACGCTCCTTTCTTGATATAATGCGCTTGTCCATGATGCAAAGCGCAGAGTGAGAATCACCTGCCGAATGAAAATGTTTTGTGGTCGAAGTAAAGATGGAATGAAAAGACCTGCGGATGTTACGGCTGGGTCAGTGCTCACCGTGCACGTCATCACATGATTGGTCTAACTCGATCAGGCTAGAGCTGCCATAGGATCACCCAGGTGCCAACATGTCACCTACCTTTGTGTCCTGTTCAATAGCTTGTGTTTTCTCAGATGCAATACGATTGCTCACATCTGTCAAAGCCATTTTCCACAGTAAGCAAAGCTTTAGATGCTGTTGCCTCCTTTCAATCTGGAGAGAAAAAAGTCCACGCACGCAGGGCGGATTACCATGCCAGGTGATAGGCCAAGCCGACCAGAGTGAATAGCCGCACAGGCCGGGTGTAAGTAAGCCCGACGGCTGTTAAAGCTGCCAAGGATGAATGTAGAGCGTGCACGGCTAAAAAGGGCTATGTTGCACCCCCTCTAGCAGCAGCAACAGGCTATAATAAAGTATAAGAAGGCTATAGCAAGGTATTTAAAATGCGGGCTATTACTTCGCAAAAATTACACCCTGTGCAGGGCCGCTGCGCAGAAAGTAGCAACTCTGTATTATATTGTTAGATACAAAGTACGATCTATAACAGCCAAATGATAACGATCAACCCCCTCAACCAGAATTTGGGTATCGAAACAGTATTTATTGACCCTGCTCATACTCTACGGAGATCAGCTACCAACTCCTTCTCCTCAGCCGGGGATTGAACAACGTGACGGCGTTCTCCGATACCGGAGATACTCTACAGATCTCAATCTACCAACTTCCCCTTGTCAACATGAAACATCTTGAGTATTGCCTCGTATGCTTCGTCGAAGTCAATCTTGTCAATCTCCTTCTGCATCTTCTCCCTGCCTGAGACAATCTCTTTGGCAATACTGGGCCAGTCGAGAGTATCATGACCAATCATCTCTTTCGCGCCGCTGTCTACATGCACTGGGAGTAGCTTCCCATCCTTCTTCCTTATGATACCATCGACAATGACAGTCTCGATATCGGCCGGGCTGGAGTGTAGAATGATGGCGGCGACTGGGTCGTGTTGTGCGGCGCCAACCATGCTAGGACTCAGAGCATCGAAAATGACAAAATCTGCCTTGTACCCTTCGGCGATGCGCCCAATCTCGCTGCTCATGTTTGCAGCCTCTGCACCCTTGATCGTTGCTAGATTGAAGGCGGCCTCGACGCTGAGGCTGTTGGGAAGAGCTCGTGGAATCTTGTCTTGTTTCATGATGTGTTCGTTGTAGTGATTTCGCGCATTTCCGAGCCCGAGCTTTGCTTCAGCGATAATGGAGCCAGCCGTTGCGGAATGGCAATCAACACCGAGCGCGGCATTGTCCTGCAGTCCGATCGAATCTCCGCTTACGCCTCCATCTGGGAATGAGGCATCGAAGCAGTAAGATCTCCCCATGGCCATCTGGAGCTCTGAACTTGGGGTTGAACTCACGAATGCACCAGCGGCCTTCAAGAGTTCAGCATCAGCCTTGACGATCGTGCCACCATGCGATACGATGATCTTCTCATCGAGTAGACCATGCTCCGATGCTGCTTGTATCACACTACCTCCTAGCGATACAGAGCCGTGTGTGGTAATCGTCTTGACGCCTTTGGCATTCACCCTAGCGAATATATCTTTGATCATATGTGCAGGCAAAAACCAAAAGTCGAACGCGAAACCCAGCGTTACCCTTCCGTCTCCAAAAGGCCCGTTATCGGCGAGCTCTTCAAAAGTGTTCATGACCCAGTCTTCGAGAAGGTTTTGATGCCAGGTGAGGGGGTTGAACTGCTTGACGAGCGAGATTGGGGTGTAACAGAACACGGAACGCATGCCAGAAGATGCAGTACCTGCGATAGCGGCTTTGGCGTGTTCTGGTGAGCGGGTTATATGTGCGTGCTCAACCACTGTAGTCGTGCCAGCTGCGATACTCTCTAGCAAACTAGCGAGCTGACCGTAAAAGACATCTTCGGGCGAGTATTGAAAAGACTGCGAGTTGCCTGCTCTTTGTCAAAAGGAGATCCTGTAGTTCCACTTGAAACCATACCAGTCACCATGTAGTCCAGCAGCTGCTCATTGGCGTGCCTGCCTTTGAGCTGTGTTTGCCAAGCATGACGATGTGTATCGATGAAGCCTGGGCTGATGATCTTGTCCGTGCAGTCGATAGTCTCAGTTCCCTCAGATGATTTGATCTCATGCGCGATTCTTGTGATCTTGCCGTCTTCGACAAGAACATCGGATTTGGTGGGAACGACGTGGTTGCTTGCATCATGTATCAGAGCGACGCCGCCCCGAAGAAGAAGACTTTTGGAAGCCATCGCACGCGTCGACAGACCTGTGTATAGTTGTCGCGCTTCCACCATGGCTCAATTCCAGAGGTTATATACCTCGCTCGTTACCTTGCAATGTCGCCTTACGCCCCGGTCAGGGCTGAGGTCATCGTTGCTTCCTTTGACCCCTCACTCCGCTTTTGTCGGCACCCGTGGACGCATCAAGAGCGAGACGCGACTTTCTATGGCGTTAAGGCTTCACCGAACGACGAGAAACGGAGTTTAGAATATCAGTCAGCTGTGCATCTAGATTTACCTGCATTTCGCCCTATCGAAAGGACACACATGTTGTCGCGTGTTGGAAGCTGAGGTCAGCGTCGCGTGTTTGGTTTTCGCGAAGGGTCGATGACGTAATCTCGTGATCGCTTCAGCGCTCCATCGGGGGCTTCACGCGGGACTGCTTCTCCCACATCAACTACGGAACACCAGCATCATGTCTATTCACGACGGAGTCAGGTGTTGAATGGTTCATAAATTTGCGTGGAGCTACATGCGCAGCATTTAGCACGCGCCATTGACAGCAGAGGACGCCTCAATTCGCAAATGTACTGACATTCGCCAGATCACGCATTATTGATCTTCAAATGCGCTACCAATCTCAAGCACGCCATGACTCACCTCTTTCATTACCACAACGACTCCCCACGAACGAATACCACGATACCTTCGAGTCCTCCCTCTTTGCGGGCATCCATTGCCCGACTAGGGGGTGACCGACATGAACCCCCATAAGGACAACAGTCAGCCCGTCGTAGTCGGCCATCCCACGTTCTTACGAACTCCAGACCCTTCTCGGCGATATACATACGAAGGTGCATAGGGCTGGGAAGGCCAGACGTCCGGGATGAACCGCCACTCGCTTCATCAACCCTCACGAGGATATGGCCTCCTGCTGCGTCGGAATACCCGCAGATCATGCAGACTCCGTATTGTTCCAGACTCTCGGCTCGTGCTTGCTGGAACCCACGTCGCTGGTCCTGGTTGCATGCATTATAGCGTGGCAAACCAGTGGCATCCAAGCATCTTGGACAATTACACATCGTAGCACGCGGGCTGAAGAGGCGATACAGGCTGGTTGTAGTGGCATTCCGCTAGGTCGTGAGCGCGTGCGTAGCTGGACCGTTGCTTCTTCTTGAAGAGCGTGTCGATTCGCTGGCCCGCGCGAGTGTGATACATGCCTCAGATGGCGTGCTACCACGAAGTCGATTCGCATAGCCTAAGCGATTCAGGTAAGAGTTCAGCTGGAAAGTCCGCGCATGGGTGATCTCAACCCGATACCCTGGTTGTACAGCATCTGGAGATGGATCTGGCGCTTATTACGCTGCAAATGAGGCTGGAACCTTACCCAGATTACCGATCCCGAATGTGGCTTTGCGGAGACCCTTGAGTTCTGAACCACGTCCAAGAGCTCAGCAATAAGATTGCATCTTCTTCCGTTTCTGCACACAAAAACTACCTTCTTAGCTAATGTTTCCATCGAAACATCGGATTGATTTCCACGTTCAGGCGGAACGTACCGAATCTTTCGAAGATACACAAGAGGGCGCGCTTGCATGCTCGCCATTTGTTTCAGTGCATTAGCCTTTCACACCTGCCGGCCTGTGTGACAGCCTACTTACAGCGCCGTCTTTCGGGCGCTAATGCGGCTGCAGTAGACCTGTCCAGGTAAGCATCGCATTCGGTGCCAATGCCGCCAACCGAGATGTCGCAATCCTTGGCATCAATTGCGAACGTTACGCGAATAGTTCCCACCAGATGTCAGTCTGTTGAGATAATGCAAGGCTGGGCATGTCCACCTTTCTTCCTCTCGTTGGTAATCTCTTGTTGAAGAACTCGAAGATAACTAAACAAAGAGGTAACTGCACAGATTGGTTGCACGGATGATGTTTAGGACATTGTAGGTGTACGCTAGCCATGGCCAACCAGCGACCCCAGATCTCCCACGCGATCCGCCAACGCCTCAAACGCCATATCTCCGCCTTCGGAAGCCCAGACCTCACAAGCTCAACGCTTCGCTGAGCCCAGCCTGCCAAATTCCTCGTCTTCCATCTGCCAATAAGTAGGATTTTGCTCAATGCAAAGCACGTCATGATCGGGCGCTGTGCAGTGATAGCAATGCTGTACTGTGATTTGCACGGAAAGCTTCTCTCGCACGCTCTGCCCACGCCAAGCGCAATGTGCCGTCTTGTTAGACGTCAAATCCTTGGGATGGCGTCGGCCCATAGCACATGCGGCTGTGCCTCCGCCTTGGACCTGGAACTATGTGGCATTTCTATTTGACCGAAGTTGACATTCTCCCACTACTTCTCCACGGGGGGCTCGTTCACACAGCTTGCTATAAGGTTGCACCCATCTTCCCTCAGTCTGGCAAAACGTCGGGTCTCCTAGATACTCGTTACCTTATATCAACGCGCGCGACTCTGGGGACTTCCATACTGCCGGAGCTTTACTTGACTTCTCTAACCTCTTATCCACTGAATCCTAGGAGCCCAGAACACAGCCCTCGCTGACGACGTCCGCCAACATGGCATCCGCTGGTCAGAAAGTAGCCAAGGTGCTTGGAATCAATCTTGACTACCGAAAAGAGCCCGAGGTCTCTGGCGCTGCATCAATATCCTCCGTGGAAACAT